ACCGAGGGAGCCGCGGATCCGGGTGAAGGCCAAGACCCGCAAGACCTTGAGCAAGGCAAGTCATCACTATTCTTTGATCACGTTGATCTCAATTGCGAAATTAATTTTTGTTTACAAATAAGATTGCATGCAATGATGAACATCCTATTTGTAATTATGCCATGCCTTGATTATTGATCACCTATAAATCCTTGTAACCATGATTACGTATGAGTCCCTAGTCGATTATGACACTTGCTTAGAAATACTACTTTAGAATCTTGCATACTCATATTTATCAAATATTATATGCTTGGGCAATTACCTTTGGGGAGGTAATTGAGATGCGGCATGTGGAGACATGAGCGCCACATTGCCATGATAATGATAACATGATTTGTGAAATTAGGAAAGAAAACTAAACACTTGTTTTAGACCGGGGCGGACGGTGGATTTGGGTGGTATCCGGGAAAGGCTAGTACCGTCCCCGGTCAATTAAGGACCGAGCCATGAAGTTAAGTACGAAACGACCCCGTACAACCACACTTCTCGAATGGGGATAGACCTAGCGGAGTAAATAGCCGAGCGGAGGCAGTATCCATGCATAGTGGTTTCTCATGTGTAAGGCAGGGGCTCTACAATGGTGTCGCTATTGTTAGGACTGCCATGTGATGAGTTGAACCTAATTATAACTTAATACGTGGGTGTGAATTTTTCCTTCCCGGGTGCGCCAGAACTCCTCTCACTGCTAGAAACTGTGTACGCATAGAGTGCATGAGGATGCAAAGTTCATGGAGCGGGTACTGCCAATGCGAGGCTATCGAAAAGCTTTGCCGTGACGTGTCTCATGTGTTGAGACAAGGCTCATGTGTTGGGCAGTCACGGAGTGTGGGTAAAGTGTACATCCACTGCAGTGTGAGTAAACCAAATCTATTCGAATAGTCGTGCTCGCGGTTATTGAGCACCGGGACATGTATTACACTTGGCTAGACTCTAAATTCTTAACTTGTGTGGGATGGGTTATTGCATAATGAATTTTTATGCTGTTGGAGCCACTTCCTGATAAGGGGGAAGGTGGGCATCCTCAGAAAATCATAACGACTCAATGGCGGGAAGCTATCCTTGGGATCACAATGGATGGTGGACAGAACCGTCGTTGTTTAAAAACAAACACTGCTACTAAAATTTGATCAGTCAATGCTAGGTCTTAGGCTTGTGAAAAGAATTACAAAATTTGCTTTGCGCAAAAGAACCATAGCCATCCTTTGAAATACCCCTATCATATGCATTGTTGATGTGGTGGCTTGCTGAGTATGGTTGGTACTCACCCTTGCAAATATAAACTTAATCAGAGGCGGGAGATGAAGCTTCGGAGGATCCCTATGCCTACTACCAGGAGGGAGATGAAGACGATGGCGCTCAGTAGGTCTTAGTACGGTCGTTGCGTGTGGCAATGGCATGCCGCTGCCTTAATTCCGCTGCCTTATCTATTTCTGCTTTTGGATGTATTCCGGACCGCTCGGTCCGATGATTTAAGACAACTAGGAAGGTAGCCCGTGCATTCGCGCGGGCATGCATCATAGGATGCATTGCTTATATAAATTTTTATCCTATTTGTGAACTTTATGCCATATAATATTTAATTGTCCTTTAAGAAATTTTCTATAATCTTCTTCATCATCTAAAATAAGACAAATTTAGTATATTTAGAAAACATATCTACAATTTAAATGCAATTTAAAAGGTAGGTATTTCTTTAGGGGATAACTATTTTTCTATCAAATCTGAAAAATACTTTAATTGCTATCAAAAGTGTTTTAATTGTACCATCTAGCTAGCAATTCTTTTATTTGGTTTATGTTGATGCAATTTAATTATTTCTTACATATGAATAAGCCAGAGATGATATACATGTATCCTAGGTCTCGTTTCCCTATGATATCTGTGATCTATTATACTTTTTGAAATGAAAAACCTAATCAACTTGACCCTTAAAAAAATAAATTTAATAGTAAGAAATATAACTTCTAAACCAACTATGTACTGTAACCTTAGTATGTTGCTTATGTTTGCAATAATATGCGAAGAAATTCATAATACTATGGCATACGATAGAGAAAAAAATCATTAATCTAAGCACTTAATTAAAAAATTGATGCGATGCAAGAAAAATCATTAATATCTAAGACAAAAGAATGAAGCAAAATAAGTTATAAGATTTTCACCAATTAGTTCAATTCATGTAGATCAAATTGGCATTTATTTTTCTATTTTATGTTTTGTTTTATACAAGTCAACACGAATGCGCGGCCATGCATCGTAGGTTGGATTTGAGAAGCTTATAAGGATAGAATATCACCGGAGAAAATTTACGACACTTTAAAAGTATGATATATTCACAATTTTTTTTGTTAGTATTGCTTATATAATTTTAACCTATTAGTTACCTTTATACCATATCATATTCAAACAATTTCTATAAGCAATTATTTATAATCTTCTTCATCATCTAAATAGAAGGTAGACTTATTTTATTTAGAAAACATGCCTACCAAATTAAATGTAAAGTAAGCAAGGTGCTTTTTTGTCTTTTAATTGGATTACTGATGTTAGCTAGGTCGCCCATTGTTTATTGAGTATTGGGTACAACATGAGGCTACACTACATTCATGGGTTTGTAATATGATTGCATAGTTTGAGAGATAATCCATCTGTGAACATTTCATTTAGAGTGTGTGCGAGACTCCACATAGCCTATTATGAATACGATTAGATGGTTAAATATAATTGTGTAATAATTATTTTTTGAATGCGATGTATCATAAATACATGGTTGTATAATATATGTAGGAGGAGGACCCGTAAGATATAATATGACATAATAGTAAAGCGAATAGCCAACATGGTCTTGAATTGTTGATTTGATTAAAAAAAAACTAAAGCTGCTCAAGTGTATCTTAAATTAAACGTATAGATCGTCTAAAAATAATTGTTTATTTACAGCACCAAGATCACTCCTATTGTAAATCCCTAGCGCTTGCACGTTCACACCTAAATCAGTCTCCGTGAGAAATAGATCTAATAATTTATGATGATAAATTATGGTACATGTATATCGTGTATTTAGAAAAAAAAATCAGGAACTGGATGCATGCATCAATCAAGCACACGAAGGCCATATATAATTATCCTACCTAGTGTCAATGATAAACCAAGCAATCAAATAAATAAGTTGAAGCTACCAGATGTAATTGTCCACATACATGCATGTGGATCCGGGATAGAAGGGTGATGGGGGATTTAGTTTTGATCCAATGGTCAATAGTATTGGGTCCACCGTTTTAAATGAAAATAGAAAATTGACGGTTAGTTATTTTTCTTAGAATTTTCTTTAAATTATTAGAGCGCCACGTGGCGGTATAGGAGCGTTTGTAGGAGTCCACATGACAGCTTAAGAGTGTTTATAGGAAGTTTAATTGACTTTTAGTATATAATAGATAGATGATAAATAGATAAAAATCAAACATATAATTTAAAAGTTATGGCTGTATGAAATTTATTATCATAAAATTTTATCTCAAACTGCTATACATACAAAGAAGGGAGAAAAGGGGAGTGAAGCAGAGGTTAGAGATTGGTTGGATTTATTACTATTCGGCAAGCAAATTAATATACACGCAGAGATCACATGTACGTATGCATAGGAGTGTGAATATCAAAAGTGAATAGTGAATTAATCATCAAGGCTTCCACATGTCTTGCAAGGAGGCTAGGACGAGCAGGAGAAGGGTGTCCACTGTACAGGTTGATCGATCGATCGATCAGAGATCAACATGTTGATCGATCACCCTGCCCTCGCGGGAGCCCGGGTCATAGCGGTTCCAGAGGCGCTTGGTTCACGCACAGCTCGCTGGTTTGTTTTAATCTCAACCAAATCAACGGCTTGGAATATAGGACTCACCGAGTTAAAGGAAAATTAAGGGATAGATTTTATTAACGCCACGTGTCAGCTTAAGAGCGTTTTGAGGATTGCCACATGGCAGCGTTGGAGTGTTTTAAGGAAGTTTAATGGACTTTTAGTATATAATAGATAGATAGATAGATAGATAGAAGATAGATAGATAGATAATAGAAGATAATAGATGCCTGCGGGCTTATGATGTAATAATTAGCACTAGACTCTCGTGTATGTGCATTTGGTATTTCAGGTATGAACTCGTGTATACCAGACTACTTGATCTTGGGAAATGGTATTGTTTACACGAATGATTCCTGTTATCAAAACGGGGGTCCATATATTGGAAGAGCGTGTGTAGCTAAATAATCATCCATAGCTATCTTTATTAAAAATTGAAAATTACTCTACTAGTGAATAGTTGCATTTATCTTATCCAATGATAACCATTTTCCATTTTTTTTTTCTGGCGGCTTCCACCAGGGTTGTGTGGGGGAGAGGGCGGCAACGTGTGCGGTGAAGCGGAGCGAGGCTATAGAGATGATGTGGTGGCGTGCAGGCGTGGAGACGACGTGACACGCAGCTGTGGATGAGCCGACCAACATGGCCGGCGGTGGCAGGACGACGGCGCGGTGACAGCCGGGCGGCAATAGGACGACAATGGGCACACAACAAGAAGAAGGCCGGCAGCGTGGGAGGTCGGTGTGGGCAACAGCAGGGAGGCACGAGACATTATGAAATCACCTTCGATCCAATACCCTTCAATGTGAATATTATGAAATTCTACTCCACGAAAACTCCCCAAAAAAAATTGGCACTCAAATACAGCTCCAAGAGTCAAGAATCCAAACTGAAATATCATCCATTTAATTCCTCACTTTTTATACCAAAAAACACATTTTTTTTCCTTTATTGCTTCATGTTTTTTGAGTTAAAGATAAGCAACCTGAGCAGAGGAGAGGAGCTTTGATCGAAATGCATCTTTACAGGGGTAGCCCGGCCCGATAAGGCTTTGTTGGGCCGGGCCAGTAAGGAGATTACTCTCACCGGCCCAGCAAGCGAAATGCTTCCGGTCCAAGTCCAACACGCACCCACCTCACCCTTTGCTGCGGTCTCTCTCTCTCTCTCTCGGCTTCTTCCTCCTTGCGCGCAGCCTCGATTCTCGACTTTTCTTGCTGTGGGGAGAAGAATCGCGATTGCGCGAGGGGATTTCTTGCTGCTCGGAGATGCCGCGGATTCCGCTGATCAAGTTCCCCAAGAGGAATCTCAAGATCCCATCCCCACCCCCACCAGGTGCTGCTCTCTTTCTTCTTCCCCCCAATTCCAATCCTTTCTTTTCTTGTTTTTTTTTTTTTCTGTTCTAGGTTTATAGTGGGGGCATGATGTGTCGTTCGGGATCTAAATCCCTTTGATTTTCTTCTTCCTGCAGCGGCGCAACCTGCAGATCAGCACGCGTCCCTCTTGTCCCGATTGGGTAAGTGGAAGAAATGATGATTCTTTGAATCCGCGAGCAGTTGGTGCTTGTTTTGAATTTCGCCCTGTTTTGGGTAGTGATTTGTGTGGGTATGCCTTGTCGTGCCTCCTTGACCTGGGGTTGATTGATATGGGTAATGTATGGTTGCTGGTAGTGGCGAACGCAGGATTAAAATTTTAGGGGGGTGCTATGAAAGAAACACAAGGCTAGCGCCTAAAGTGAAACCCGATAGGGAAACCATATTTCGAATCAAGATTACACATGAATTGCATATGAACATACCAAATAATGCAAAATAAATTAAAGAAAGTACTTGGTAATACGAAGCATGGTCTTATAGACTAATGAAACATGCAAAGAGCTATTTGTATATTAGTATTGTCAAACTCACTGATGAGTTTAAAATACTACTTCAGAGTTTTGTAAATATAAGAACCGAAGCACCAAATGGTAGATCAAAAAATAAAACTGAGTGCGTTCCTCATAACCAACTAACCAAGATATAACATGCCTGAGCTCAACTAACCAAGCAACATGTACAGGAGTGATGGTTTGCATGCACAAACTGTGATCCTGCAGTCTAGCTGTGTGGCTACATGTATGCATATAGGTGAACCAACGGGAAGGACTGCAGTAGGGGATGCTCCGGCCCCCTTTGCCCCCCCTGCTGCGTCCGTCCCTTTGCTCGTGTAGATGTGGTTTCACGATAGATCTGAGCTTAGTCCGGAGTAATGTTTTGTGGCTTATGGTTCAAACGGAAGATATTCTTGTGTTGATTCTTGTTTGCCATCTAGAACATACATTATATGGGATTCGGAAACACTGGACAGAGATGAATTTCCAATAATTTAATGAAGAAGGTTTTTTTAATCTTTTGTCATGACTATCCAGTTATGCCATTCAGATGCAACACGGCTGCTGGTTAATTTGATCTGTTCAGCTAATTGTTTACTAGTGACATTTTTTCTGCGGACAGTTGTTTTATTGACCTATTTACTACATTTGTTAACATTACATTGATTTCTGCATTTCTTTTATTGGACCAAATTTCTCAAAACTACAATTACTTTGGCAAAACTAATACAAAAGTACAGGTTTAAACTGCTGTGTGCCTGTATCGCAGAACTAAATATTCCCAATTGAATTTATCAAAAAACCAGGTTTAAGACAATATTAAAAAATTACAGTTTAAGTCACAATATATCAAAACATTAGGTTTAGCACTGACTCTTTCCAAAAACTATATATTATAAAAGTTCCACAAGGATAATGTTTTTAGAGCAGAATCTCTAAAATCTGTATTTTTGTGATAAATCTGTGCTAATTAAGTCTTGTGGTAACTTCGATGTTAGATGTGTAGTTTTATGTTACTATGGCTTAAATATGTAGTTTTGTGATATTTTGTCATAGCATTTACAGATATATGACATTTACTTTTATGTTCGTAGACCTGGATGTGCTGAGGTAGAATAATTAGAAACCTCCACCACCTACATATGCACCCCACCACCACCACCTTCTTCAATTCTCTATGGCACGCTTTCTCGTTTGGAGACCATGCCTTGCTGGCTGATTTGGCTACTCTTTTCTTTTCCAGAGCCTGTCAACCACACCATATTTTTATTTTTCTCATTTTCGCAGGATAGAATATTATGCTTCTTCTATACTGTGATAGTGTGATGTTTCCTCAGTGTATGATTGCCAAATGTCATTTGGATAGCTGTGCTGTTGTCCCATGGACAATACAGGTGCTGGTGCATTGGGATCGACGAATTTCTGTCCACAAGCTATTCATTTTAGTTCAACTTTACCTTTTTCTATGTTTGTTATTTTGCTTGGATATGAACAACATATATTGATTTACTGAATGGAAATATTCTACTGATCGGTCGTTTCATAATTCTGATGGAAAAATGTGTTCATAACATTTTCAGGAGTTAAATCAGAGGCACCATCTTCTTCCGGGGAGATTAAAAATTACCGCTTTAGATCAGATGTGCCTTCCCCACCTTCTTATACGGCTGTTGGAGGGCCAGCTTCACTCCTTCCTAAACGCAAGCCACTGTCAGAGGAAGAAATTGAGGCTATCATGGTATGTACTTGTTCTTAAGTATGTCATTTGCAAATGCTTGCAAACAAACTTTATAACTTGGACAACTTATTTGTGCAAACATCAAAATTTTCTCATGTGAAAGTGACATCAGTAGATTTCTCATGAAAAGTGCTTTCATGCACTATATTTATGATTTTTCCATGACATAATTTGAAAAAACAAAAAAGTAGTAGTCAAATTTCTGCATTGATTATCATATTACCGTGATGCTGTCTCAATGGCAAGAAAAGCAATGGAGAGACTATGGTAGTACTCCCTCCGGTTCCATAATTCTTGACGTTTAGGACAATGACACGGTCTCCAAAATATATCTTTGACTTTGTTTTCCTATTATAATATATGCAATAAATAAATGCATGTTTACTTTTCTTATAGTATTTTGAAAGACAAATCTATATATGTTGTTCTAGTTCCTTTAAACTAAATATTTTGAAAGTTATTGATAATCAAAGTTACAAAAATTTGGCCACAATCTTGTCCAAAACGTCAATAATTATGGAACCGGAGGGAGTATTCATAGAAAAAATATATTATAACACTAAAGCCTGTAAATAGTTAGTTTTATGGTTATTGTTGAGGTGTATGGTAACATTTTGCTTTAGGAAATACTATACATAAGAACTGCGACAACACTAAGGCCTGTAAAATATATAGGCTAGATTGTTCAGATTTAAATTCAAGAAGAGAACTAACTTAGCTACTGGAATATATCAATAAATGCTTTATGCGAGCAAAACTGTTAGTAAACTTATCTCGACAAAGAAAATTCTTCAAACATCTAGATGTTTTTTCCATTTATACAGAAATGGCATACTCCACGAGAAATGCATATGTTCCCTTCGAACTAGATATGCCAGCAACCAAAAGTGATAGATCCAAGTTAAATTACGGATTTACAGATGGAATGTCCAGAACTACTGTTTAATCTGCACCCATGTGTGAGTTTAAGTTATTGAAGTGCATCCATTATCCACTGGGGAACTCTTGGACAATTTACAAACATAGGTCTTATCTTCAAACTAAACCCCGTCACTGTCAGTAATCCTCCGCTCATATCATTTATAGATTGGATTTGATGTGTTTTGCACTTGTTGACAGGAGTCAGAGGCTTAGTGTACTCACCAATGTATCCCAAAATATTTCTCATATTTGTTTCATCAATGCATTGTTCTCCATGATGGCATTCAAAGTTTTCTCATCAACTGTATATTCACATAAGCCTCCTCTAACAGGAGTTTCAATCTAAGGCTTTGGTTCTTTTCTGCAGCATCTCATGCATCATCCTCTTGCACAAATGCTACATCATGCGTTCATCATCACTTTGAGTATTATCACCTCAAATGCTCTCTACCTTCCTTTGACACACCTCTGTAATACATGCATAATATTTCACACTATTATGCTGTATATGTAGTTATATATATATATTTTTCTGTAGCTTTGATGCATGATAATTTTGAATAGCGTTGTTAAGGATCCATCATTCAACTCTTCAATATTGTTATCCTGTACAATTATTTTGTATTTTGGTTCTGCTGTTTGTTCTACAGCTTTACGAACTATGTTCTATTCTAACAGGACAATTTGTATTTGTATTTTTTTTTTTGCAGCAAGGTGGTATCTACTGATATTGCATCCGATGAATAAGATACCAAACCTTTTAAATGGGGTCACTAGAGCCATGTCGATATGGACCTTTTCGTTGTACTCCCTTTTTGGTGTCAGGAAGCAGCTGCCCTGATACTCCTTTTTTTGAGTATTGCCAAAATGACCAATTCGTGAAAACTGAACATGCAATGCATCGGTTGTTTGCCAAAATACATTGATCATGGAGTTATGCCATGCAACTCAACTAATTGTCTTATTCCATTGCTCCAAATGTTCTGAGACATTTGTGCTCATCCATGCTGCTTCAGCAATTAATGCTTTCATCAAAATATCGTGTATCTGCCAGTTGGACGAAATGATGCTCCTATATTAACGATAGATAATTTATAAGCACACAAAATAGTCATTAATTAGACAGGCTTTGATGTGCTTCTCTTTTTCGCTGGTGGGGGCCTTCGCTGTCCCAGTGCCGTGTAAGTAAGTAATCCCATGTGATGGACATATGAATAGCTCTCATTAATAGTTCTGATAATTCTTTGTTTGCACGTTTTTCCTTCTTTTTTTCCCCCTGTTGGTATGGTGTAATGGTCTCCACATGGTCACATGCTCTGTTGGAACTTGGAAGGATTTAGGTGACTATCGGTTTTCTATTTTGTTTCCGTAGATTCTAACTCGAAGGTCCATTTGAAACAAGAAAAACACATGATTTGTGGTATGCATGATGCGTGCATGAAATTCAATGTTACAGGAATTGTTCACTTGGGTTGCTCGTGTGCATAATAGGGAGGTACATGGATTTGGAGAGTTGCATGAAGGATTTCCATGAGATTGTGCTTTGCCCCCATGTTAATGCCAGTTATAAGAGTGGGGATAGTTGTATGGCAGTAATTCTGGATTAGTTGGGAATGAGCATTTGAACAATTACATATGTTACACTTGGACGAAGAGATTAGCACTCTTAGGGGCTTATGTCTTCCCCAAGTTATTTTTTCCAATTACAAGGAAGATGCACACACACTATATGGATTGGGTAGTGGCAGCTCCAGGAATTTTCGTTGCGTGGTTCTATCTCATACTTTGAAATTGCGTAATATCAAAATTGCATCTATTTTATCAAAAATCTTCGGAGGATTTGAAAGATGGGATACTCCTATGCCAAAATGGATGATGATCAAAGGACCATCCTAAAAATACCTCTAGAATAGGCACTGGGATTGAGACTGATAAAAGTTACTCCCACCGTTTCCAAATGTTTGACGCCGTTGACTTTTTATCACATATTTGACCGTTCGTCTTATTCAAAAAATTTAAGTAATTATTAATTCTTTTCCTATCATTTGATTTATTGTTAAATATATTTTTATATAGGCATATAATTTTACATATCTCACAAAAGTTTTTGAATAAGACGAACGGTCAAACATGTGCTAAAAAGTCAACAGTGTCAAACATTTCGAAATGGAGAGAGTATTATGTAAGAGAATCCCCCTCCACACTATACATATGTTTGCGAATAGATCTTTGACCTTACTAGAACTTGTTTGGTGGGGTTCCAACCAGGCATAATAACTTGTAATTGATGTAATTTGATTCCATAAATCTTTTTCGAAAAAAAATATGCTTGGTTTCCAAGGAGACATTCTCCACTTCCAATCGTCGTTGTTAAAAAGAGGGGAGAAAAAAAGTCTTTGCAGCAAATAAATGGCAAGCACATTTTCCACCATGCTGCAGGGTTGAAATGTTGAATAGTCAAAATTTGATTTTGATCCATCCCTTCCCGTCCATTCCATCGGGGGAGGGAGAGAGAGACAGGAGAGGAGAGGAGAGAGCACGATGGCCATGGCGCAATCACTTCTAGGAGTACCATTCTCTCGCCTCCTCCCCCCCTCCTCCTCCTCTTCCTCCCCACCAACACCGACAACAATCCCTCCACCTCCACTACCCTCCTCTTCTTGGTCTCCTCCATCCCGCCGCCGCCGCCGCAGGGCCGTCGCGGCGGCGTCCTCGCTCCACCTCGCCCCGGAGGACATCGCCGAGCTCGTCCGGAACAAGGTTGTCAGCCTGCCCGGTGGACCGCTTCTTCCCCTACTGATGATTTCTTTGAATATACGGGAGTTAGTTCTTGGGTTGACTTGATAATTTCTTTCTTTGGAGAAGGTTCTGATTGCGGCGACGGCGGCGAGCGCGGTCGGCCAGCTCTGCAAGCCCTTCACTTCCTCCGGCAAGGATGGCGCCGCCGGCGCCTTTGACCTCCGGGCTGCCGTCCGCTCAGGCGGGATGCCCTCCACCCACTCCGCGGTGAGACGACCATGATACTTGCCTTGCCTGCACTTTACCCTGCCTTAATGTTTTTTTCCTTTTTTTTTAATGCTATACTGTAATGGCGATTGTGCCTAGGCTGATTTTAGGCTGTTTTTGTGTCTGGGATAGCTTGCTTGTGTAGTGGATTGGGGTTGCCATGTGATGTGATGCGGGTAAAGTATTTCATCTTGCTTGTTAGATGGACAACTCTGAAATTTGGTACAATTCGATGTTGGGTGATTAATGTTCGTATAGCCACTCAAAGTATTATGCTAGGATGGTTGCTGTTCTTGGTTGAATTCAGTATGGTGTAATTCTTCTATCCAATCGTGTCTAGACTTTTGTAAGCTTGCTTGCTATCCAGAGATTTCTGAAATTCGGTACAATACCACGCGTTGTAGTATGGCGCCGAGATATTCGCAAGAGACTCAAAATAGTTACGTCAAAATATTTCTTGTGCTTTGCTTTGTAATATATTACAATATAGTACTGTTCAAGCATATCTAGCCATAGGGATGTAAAGTAACTTATCTCTTATCGAAATTGGCGGTTCTGATGGTCTCTAATTTATTTTCAATGTTTTTAGGCTGTTGTGGCAGTGGCTACCTCGCTTGGGCTAGAAAGGTTAGCATCTTAAAAATTCCTTGTTTGAGGCTTAGGGCCTATTTACTTTGATGCCAAAAAAAACCTTACCAAATTTTTGCAATGCTAAAATTGTGGCATAGTTGCCAAAAATTTTGGCAACTTGCCAAAATTTTGGTACGATTTCTTATATAGTTACCAAAATTTGGCAGCAAACTAAATGTAGCCACTTTTTTGGCAATTTTACCAAAATTTGGTAAAGTTGAAAATGGCATTAAAGTGAACAGGTCATTAAATTTCTATTCTTGTTTAGTCCCTAGATTCTGTGGTTTTACGTCTTTCTTGATTATTGTGTTTAGTATGCAGGGGCTTTGCAGACTCCATTTTTGGTATGTCAGTGGTGTTCGCAGCAATCGTAATGTATGATGCTCAGGTATGGTGGGCTTTGATGCTTTTCTATTGTCTTGTACATCTCTCTTCTATCTTTCAGTTATGTAGTCACTAACTAGTACTGGCCAGCTTATTGATCGTACTAAGTGCCCCCAATTATGTGGCTTACTGTAGTGCGCATTCTTCTGGAGCTTTGGCATCATATAAGGGTTCCCCTGTTTTATATATCTAATTAAGCTGTAGGCAGTAGGCTGTATATTTGGATTGCTAGATTTGCTGAAATGCTCCTATTAATGCCTCCCCAATTCCCTCCAAAAGGCATAGTAGAAAAACCCGGACCAGTAGTCGACCCGGTGATCTCGTCGGTTCACTGGTTCACCGGTCGGACCGTCGGGTCAACCGGTTCAATGCTGAACTGGAGGCATATGATTACTATATGTTTTCTACTAGACAGGATGAGTGAGCTAGCTAAATGGTAAGCATGGTAAGGTCTCAACCCACAGGTCATGGGTTCAAATCCCTTTCCACGCATGTTTTCTCTCATATTTTGCATAAAATGTAAATGGGCGATGATGGGCCTTACAAGTCCAGCCCAACTTGCAATGAACCGCCGGTTCTTATGAGCCCGGTTCACCGGTTTTCAACAAAAACCGGCCGGTTCACCCGGTTCTTACCGGGTCAAATGCACGAGCGGTCTTTCTATTGAACCAAACCGGTGAGAGGCCTGGTTCCGGTTTTCTCCGGTTCAACCGCCAGTCCGGACCGGTTTTTTATACTATGCCAAAAGGAGATGGAAATACTTAATTTAATCTCATAACTTCTTACATCAACTATTCAACTAGATATTGAAGAATGATAGGGGAATATATATTGTGCATCATCATTGCCTCTTCCGGGAACATGATGTGAACACATAATTTGGTGCCTTTTAAACTAATATCTTAATATTGACAATGGCCTATCCTGCCTGCGTCTCCTAATTTTAATCTAAAATCTGATAGGTTTGTTAACCAGTCCTTTTGCAATGTGCAAAAGTATTGCAAAACTCAATTTTAGATAACCATTTTATCTAAAAAGAACATGGGAGCATGAGAACTTCATCATTATGAAGGATTAAACTCTTCACTGATTTGATATTTGTAGTTTATGACTGTGTTGGCAGAGATACTCCCATTCAGTCAGACCAGTTTGATCTAACTTTTCCTAGTTCCCATTGCTGCTCAATGTTTTTCTGTTTATAAAATTGGTAGGTGATACTGTTCTAGTTAGCATATTTACAAGGCTGTTATAACTTGTAACATGAATAGTCATGATACATATGACTCATGGAACACTTACTAAAATTTTCTGCTAAGGCCCCTTTCCTATATTGCATATTTGGTGAAGTGTAACTTCAATTTATCTTTTTATTATTTATTTATTTATTCATTGGTGAAGTGAGCAGGATATCTGTCTGGGCTTTTGTCTTTCCTTCCTTCCTTTCTTTTTTTTTTTTTGTTTTCATGTCTTAATCCTTTGCTTGCATATACATCCACATCTGAAAAAAAACAATAACTTTCATTCCCAAAGTTGAATGTTAGTGAACATGGTCCATACTTACAGTCAGTAATAGCCAGTTATGTTTGGTATAGGGGATCATATAGTTTCTTCATTTCAGAGTCTGATTCAGTTACTTTTGGCATGGTCAATTTCATCTTAGCTTAATATCTGGCCGGTCCCAGTCAATACGATGGCCTCAAATATGACAGTTTTATTTTTTCTCGTAACTGCACTGCCTGGATGATTATAGAAGTTAGAACTAGTATGTGCTTTGATCTATAAATTTAATACTAGATTTTTGCTCATGTCATTTCCATTGGATAATCTCAACAGGGAGTAAGAAGAGAGGTGGGCAATCATGCAAGAGTTTTAAACAAGTTATTGACCCTTCGCGAGAAGATCACTCAAAACCCGGACGACAATTCCTTGTTGAGTTCCACCTCTGAACTCCACTCCTCAAAGCCCGAGACGGTTGCCGAGCTCGTTTCCGTGGCTGAGAAGCTTGGTTCTTCACAAGGTTCATCCGCGAACCCCTTCCCAATCCACAGTTCCGGGACCAAATCGTCGAGATTGAACGCCCTTCAGAGTTCAGAAACAGAGGTAACTGAATTTACACAGCTGAAGGAGGCTTACACAGAGGAATGTGACCGGCTGAGCGAATCAGTCGGCCACACTGAGCTGCAGGTTGCAGCTGGTGCCCTGCTAGGCTTCCTTGTGACCTTAGTCGTCTATGCCACACTGTAACACAACTATCATCTTCACATTCTTCAGTTCATTATATAGATTGTTTACTCAACAATCAATATAATTACACGAGGAATTCACAGTTAGCACCACAAAATTAGCTTGCTTTCTGCACTCATTTATTCAGTAAGAAATGTATGGGCATTTTATGGTTCTTGAGAAAGCACTTGAGCACATGTAGGTACTGAAATTTGACAGTAAAACCCCGGTAGTAAAATTATCCACAAAAATTACCCATGTATATTCATATTCTATTTATTTATCTTCTCCATGCATGGTCACAAACTTTGATGAGCGTGGTGAGACAATTTACTAGTCATGGCCCCTGCATTGCTGCTGCCCTGATCTGACGGAGGAAGAAGGAGCAGCAACGTAACGCATCTGGCGTCGCTTAGGTAGCGACATCTCTGTGGAATTTCCTGCATTCAAGAACTCATTGGCCCTCGTAAACAAAGGAGAGGAGTGCAGCTTATGGCAAAGGGGCTATATATGCAGCCAAACAACCATGGGGAGGCTTGGCTAGCTATAGGCGTCAGATTGTATACTGCATTATTATATATACTACTACATGCTAGTTAATTATATTATGCTAAATACTTGTTTATTCTGAGATTTTGTGTGTGAAAATTAAGGCAGCAGTTTGATATGCAAGTCATTTGCAAGCTACTCCTATATATGCCGCTGTCATTAATTTGCAGTGTGACTAGCTAATTCGTGCTGCAAGTTGAAGCTTTGCAGAGAAAGGTTAGATTGGAACCGTTGCATGCTGCGTGATACTGCTACAGTATCTAGTCAATGCCATAATCAGCCCCTATAATTATAGACTGTCAAACTTGATAGGATAAAATCAAAACACATTATGTTCTAAAACAGAGAGTTGCAAAGAACAGTGTTTCGAAGTAGAGGGATCCTCGTTATTTTCTGATTAGTTAAGATACAAATTTTACCTCGATTTTCGCTAACATATTTTTTAAACTATTAAACGGGTATGTTTCTTCCAAAACTCTCTATATAAAAGTTAGTTTAAAATATCTAATAGATATATTTCTTAAGTTTGTAATAATTAAAACTTAATTAATCACGTGCTAATGGTTTTATGCGTTGATTTTATCTTCATCTTAATCTATAATCAAACAACTCTGACTGTTTGATATAGAACTTCAATCTGGACCTGTCATCATGCATCGATCGGATGGCAGATGATGTGCCTAAATGCCTAATATAAGCACCACACTAGGCTGTTGTCCACCATTGAAGTATGCTGCCGTAGCCACATGCATGCTACGCCGGCAGAGGATCACAATTCACCACTTTTATTTTTTTTCTTTTTTGAGTGGGACAATTCACCATTGTTGGCGCCATACGTTACAGTTTGAAACCCTGTTAAACTCATCTACATGGTGCAATTTATTCTCTCTCTCTAATAATATTTTTATGCTAGGTATCGATCTCTACATACGACAAATAATATTGATAAATTAAATGGTACATATTCTTGGAATTAAAGCTTGGAGGTCGCCTATTGTGGTGTTCACATTTTAGACTGAACATAGAGGGTTTAACCTTTTCATCCTAGACTGAAATTTGAACTTCATATCATGTACTGTCTCTGTTTTTCTAAATGACACATTTAACTTTTTGACACACATTTGATAATTCGTCTTATTAAAAAATACATTACTAGTATTTATTTTGTTATGACTTGGTTTATCATATATTAAATGTTTCTTTAGCATAACTTGCATTTTCACATATTTGCATTTAAATAAAATGAATGGTTAAATGTGATAGAAAATCAACGGCGCAATCTATTTAAAACCGGAGGGGTAATAATCAAGAAGTATAAAAAAGTCATAACAAACAACAAAATATCTATATATCATGCGAACACCTACGCAATGTATTGGAAATTAATCTGCTTTTTCCCTAACGGACTACACAATATGAAGATTAGCTTTACAGAGAAATTAAAGGCCAGTTGGATTGGAATGAAGCTATATTTAATTATGTCCCCTATATATTGGAAAATGCTTCAACCTGCTCAAGAAGAAAATTGGACACCATAACTTCGGAAATGCTTTAACTCGTACGTCCGGAGTGTGATTAAATATCTGACGCTTACCTAGTGAGTCCTACCTAACCACTCTTTTCATCCTTTTCTGCTCAACAGTCAATCTTAACCTCATTCCCAACCATTTATTTTCCTCTCTTCTCTCCCCATATTCACCGGAACGGCTAGCTATGGAGAGACCTGCACCGACGGCAAGCAAGAGCGACTCATCTCGCACTCCGCCACATTGCTGGCACGCAGTAGGGGGGCGTCCTGACGTCCACCACCCATCGGTGTCTCATTGGCACCGTCTCCAGTATACGTTGAGCTAAGGGGCACTAGATCCAGGGGAGTGGACACTATCAATGAGGGGAGCAACTCAGTGTTAGCTTGCTTGACAGCGGCGCGGCGCCAAGCTCTGCCTTATCTTCGTCAGCAATAGGAGAAGGTAATAGAGAGTCTTCATGGAGTATAGGTATCCCAACATTAACATGGTGGCCTACCTATCACTGGAGAAGAGGAAGAAATAGATCTAGACCGCTTTTTTCTCTTTTTATGTTTTAGCTTAATATTTGGATGTTTCATTAGTTTAGACTAAAATGTTGCAGTGGTTTTTTTTTGTGTGTTTCATTGTTTTCCCGAAGCATTTGGATGTTTCAAAATTGATGTTTCATGTGTTGTAAGAAAATGTTTCAGTATTGTTTTGATTGTGTTTCATAATTTAAAATTGTTGAAACATATTTTTTTTATGTCGAAACATGTTTTTTCAACAGTTGAAACATTGTTTTCATACGATGAAACATTTTTTCTCCATATTTTGTTGAATATTTTCCCATCAAAAGATGAAACATGTGAAACACTTGGAATCAATGTCATGCAACACTGTCCGACGTACAAAACGTCAGACACCCGACTGTAGTCCTCTCCCTATATATCGTCTTATTTCATTAAATAACTAAACTAGCTCCTCCTTGATTGATGAAATGGTTGATATGTATAGAGTCAATATGAAATTTAAACCATGCATATTAGTGATATGATTCTGAGTTTAAGATACCTTGTGGAAGAGTAGTGCACATCTAAGAGAAAAAAAGAAATTAAGTCTTTTGGTTTTTCTCTTATAAGGTCTAACGATTTCTTCTTCAATCAGGTCTAACAACCAACAATGAAGAAGTAGATGTGACAATAATTCAACACGAATTTGACATGGTTTATCCTTAATCTGAAGGGGAACATATTCATTCATTTCAGTAGAGGAATAGACACCAAACGTCCAAACCATTCATGCACGAACAAAGAGGGAAAGTGACACCTACCTCCATAAAAATAAAAGCATAATCCAGAGCAAGATAAATAATATAATCCATGCAGTTCCTTGGTTCTATCAATTATTATCAAGAGCTTACCTCAATGTTTAACCCAACATAATATTGCATAAAGGTTTAAACACAACATGAGCAATAATCCATATATGTGCAATATATAATGACAGTTCTTGATTAATGAACTCTAGCAAGCAAAGCACATGGTAAATTAATATCGGTTCTCATTCATCAGCCAGCAATTATGAAGCATCCTAATTAAGAAGCAACACTTAAATCCAAAAATGCATGGGAAAATCAGAAATATTAATTAAGTATTCTCATGCATGTATAATTAGGTTTCAAAGCCACATTTGCATGCATGCACATGGGAAAACATAGCATAGCATAGCATAGAGTGTATATACACTTGGAAGCATTAAGCTCCATACCAAAAGGAAGATCAAATTAACCAGTCTAACCAAAAAAACATGAGCTGATCATTCAGATCATCATCACCATCATCAACTGCTCATTTATCGGTGGCAGCTAATTAAGCTAGCTTAGTTCAAGTGATCCATGCATGCATGGAGGGATAATCTCTCTACTTGGAGAACCTGAGCAGGTCGGCTGCCTCGCACCCCAGATACTGCAGTGGAAGCCTCTGCAACGACGAGGCGGTGCCGCCGCCGCCGCCGGCGAGCTGATCCATGAGATGCTGGTGGTGGCTAGGAGCAGCCATGGCAGCCGGCGACGACGCTCCGGCGATGACCCTGCCCTGGAAGAGCTGGTCCAGGTTCTGGTGCGAGGCGAGGAGCTTGTCCAGGATGGACCAGTCCGTGGCGGCGGTGGCGAAGCGGTGGTCGCCGCCGGCGTGGAGCAGCCCGGTGGCACCGCCTCCGGCGGCGGCCGACGTTAGCTTCATGAGGTTCTGGGGGCACTCGACGTCGAGGGAGCTCAAGGCAGCGGCGGCGGAGGGTGGGACGCCGGGGAGGAGGGACGGCGGTGGCGGCGGCGGCTGGTCGGCGCTCATGAGCTGGGGGAGCTGCATGGAGGGGTCGAAGGAAGGGAAGTCGTCGTAGTGGTGGTGCGGCTGCATGAGGTGGTGGTGGTGGTGGCCGCCGGCGCCGTCGTGCTTGTGGTCGGCGGCGCCGCCGTGGAGCTGGGCCGGTGGGAAGGGGTGGTGGTGGTGGTGGAGGAGGTCGTCGTCGTCGACCGCCGCCATGTCCGCCGGGTTGAGGCCTCGCTGGTAGCTCTTCTTCATGAATACCCTACACACCACCCAACCATCTTCCTGCAATGATGTATTTTCATTTTCAGATCAGACAATGAATCTCAGTAAATTAATTAAGCTGTTAATTAGTTCATCAATCTCAGTAGCAAGAAACCCTTGAGCTATATATGCAAGGTTCCATGAAGGTGAATCTTTCTGTACAACACACATATCCCTTTTTACTAATTCTCAGCCTGAAACTTTATTCTCTTTGGATCAACCACCAATTGCATATACATAGTACACACAAATTCATGTAGGTAACTGACAAAATAACAAAGTTCTAGATGACTGATAAATAGCAAAACTAGCATAACTGCAATTCGTCCCAAAATATAGTAACTTTTAGCTATGAATCTAAACACGCAGTTGTTCAAGTTCATAGCTAGAAATACTTATATATTTGGACGGAGGGAGTACCAGTACTCATGAGTCGTGATATCATGCATGACTTTGGCATTTCATGGATGCTAAGTATGTATATCGTGAACTTAATGTTGCATATGGTTTTTGCTGATGTCAAATATATATATATATATATATATATATATACCTGGACATCGACGTTGTCTTGGTCGAGGCGGTACTCGTGCATGATCCAGTCGGTCTTCTTGCCGTGGGGCGCCCTGCCGACGTAGAAGACGAGGGTCTTCCTCATGCCGATGCGGCAGGCGTTGGCGAGGAAGATGGCCTTGTCCCTCCCCGTCGCCTTCCAGAACCCCGCCGTCGTCGCCCGGTTCGTCCTCGTCCCCGTCGGGTACTTCTTGTCCTTGTGGCTGAAGAAGTACCACTCGTTCTGAGGCCCCGTCCCTATCCTGCACCGATCTGTATATATACCACATGAAATATTAATCACCATGTTTAAACTTCAGCTAAATCTCACTGTTGCATGCTTGCTAGCTCCGGCCGGCTAGCTAGATGAGCTGACTGATTGATTGCTCAATTTCAATTTTACCTTTGAGATCCCAGGGCTCGAGCTTGTTGAGGTCGATCTCCCTTATGACGTCGAGATCTATGGCCTCGTAGGCCACCTTCTTCCTCAGGTAGTAGTAGAGGAGCTCCTCGTCCGTCGGGTGGAACCGAAACCCCGGTGGCACCGACAGCGCGCCGCCGCTCGGATGCATCCTTCTTTTTGATGCAGGCCGGCCCTAGGATCTGATGAGATTCAGACATTGTTTAGATTTGGGAGAGAAACACCAGAAGATCATCTACTTGAGTTACTAGCTTGAAAAGCAACCTTTGAATCAGAGAAGTGCATGCAATCTTGACTATATACCTTCCTCTTCATGCATAGGGCTAAAACAGAACAAAAGGAAGAGCACAAACCTTGGAAAACTATATCCTCCTGCCTTTGTTCTGCCCTGATTAGCTCAGCTCATCAGCTCCTCAATGCAACAAAAAGATAGGGACAAGCAGCAAGAAAAACAAGAGGAAGAGGATGATGGAGCAAGGCAGAGGATGTGTATGGGTTATATGGGAAAGGAGAGGGGATAGGGTTAGAAGGATAGGAAGTCCAAGATGCTCTCTCAGCAAAGACAAGCCCTATAGGTGTATAAAACTATGTTCTACTATACATGACTGTGCTGGGGAGGAGTGGGTTTGAGCTGTCCATTAGTGTAGCTTAGTTAAATTAATTAGTGAGGTATTGACCATTCAGATAGGGTCACAGTAAGAGTGTCCATGCATGTCTTGGGCATGGTTTTGGATGGACTAAATGAAAAGATGGTGCTTGTGTCCCTTGAATAGGGGACCCTGCCCCAAAACTGGCCTCAGAAAGAGCAATTAGGTGTCTCCATCTGCAGCAGTGTATCATAATTATCATTATTGCTTGTTTTTTTTGTAAATCTACCCTTCCCAAACATAACATGTTCACAATCATAGTCAACAAAGGTAGATAATTTGCCTTGTTAATTGTTTGATGTTCTAAAATAGGACAAAGCAAGGGTGTGTATGTGCAAATTAATAGCATTAGTCCTCAGTATAGACTGAGGTGGAATTATTTGGTTATTTGGACTTTGCACGTGGGAGTCAGGGGGAACAACGGAATTAAACCTCTAATTCCAACTTGCTCCAAATCCCAATCTCTCCATTCTTCTTCTATTCCCTGCGATGCTCCCTTACTTTATCTCACCATTCTTTACTGATTTATATAATCTGATCTTTGGTGCATAGTACTATTGGCATTGGTTACTTTACTTCTCCCAATTAGGGATCTACTGCTATATAGCTAGATAGCTAGCTAGGCAAATTTGAAACAAGTTACTGACTTTTGTATGCTCTCTCTGATCTTGAAAATTTTGACAGGCTAGGCAGTTCGTCATTGTCAACCCAAAAAATCTTGCAATCCAAATTGTATTTCATCAGTAGATAGTGACTGGTTAATTGTGTGTTTTGATCAAATTTTGTTTGAAATCATATTAATATTATTCCAGAAATACCTTCAAAAGTTCTGCCTCCCACATCAAATCCTCGCTTTCCAATTTTTGAGAATATTTCATTTGAAATTCGTGATAGATCTCCAACATTAATTTCCAACAAAAATTTTATGTCAGCTCCGATATATAGCTTGAAAATACTAGTATATCATGCAGTACATGAATTATACATGCATAGAGTACTTGGAATATTAATTGATGTCTAGTAAAGTAGTAATAGTGCATACAAATGTTTATATATGATTCTGAAAATCACTTTCATTGAGATATACTCCCTCCGTTTCAAAATGTTTGACACCGTTGACTTTTTAAGTACGTGTTTGACCATTCGTTTTATTCAAAAAATTTAAGTAATTATTTATTCTTTTCATATCATTTGATTCATCGTTAAATATACTTTCATGTACACATATAGTTTTACATATTTCACAAATTTTTTTAATAAGACGAACGGTCAAACATATACTTAAAAAGTCAACGGTGTCAAACATTTTGAAACGGAGGGAGTATATACGTATTTGAATTGAAGGGCTACATGGATGCACATTGCTCAAGGTCACATTGGGAACAAAAGCAACGTAGAGACACAGTCACAGCAGCTATATAGAAAGGAAGACATGAAAATTTCCACGTACGCATGCATGAATCAGATTCGAGATCTGCCTTGTGTTCACGCAACATCAATGGTCTAATGTACGACGTAGTGTGCTTTAATTAATTGATCGCTCTACATCGCAAACGAAAAATAATCTCTCTAAATATATCTGAACTGATGAACATCAATTTTCTTGATTACACATACAGCATAGAGGGAGAGAGATGTATATGCAGTAGCATTATTCTCTTATTGTATCGCAAAAACAGAAATTTAATACATATTATTGCTTTTTTAAAATCCTTTACAAGCAAATTGACCCAAAATTTAATCCTGCTTTTGAGATGCATTGTTTTGTAGTGCTGTTTTAATTTAGATGATCGTGCTTTATCAAGACATAATTATATAACATACTGTATATATGGAGCGTCCTTTTTTTCCGAACGCGCGAAACGATTGCACGCCAATATAAAGAGAGTAGAGTTTTGGTTACACAATGCAATCGGTCAGAAATGCCATCGCCAAGGTACAAGAAAAAAATGGAAAGGGAAAAACTGTGAAAGAAGAAAAAAAAATCTCTTTAAGGAAAAGAAAAAAATCTCTATGGATCAGCGTCCTAAAAAAATTATACAGATAGCTGTTCATAAAAGCTACATAAATATAGAGACACTTAATATCTTCACAAGTCAGCAAGAAAACATACAAAATTTTGTAAAAATTAACAAGAAAATGTATAGAAAGAGACGATTTATATCAACAGCCAATTGATTTATATATATAGATGTGAGACGTACTCCAGCGTTAATTGAGAAAGCTAAATTAAGTAGGAAAAATGTTGCCTATAGCTTGATGCTATGATGAAATATGCGTGCAAACAAGAGCTGGATAACCTACTGTGATCAACTGGAAATGATTGTTTGATATGTAAAATTAAGTGTCAGCATTGACGTGTTATTTTTATATATTGATCGTCTCTACTCGAACTTCCACGCACGCATGATTTCATATGCATCCCAGCCGGTTAGCGAGCTGACCAAATTAACCTGATTAGTGCTTCTCGATTGTGTTGTTGGCTGAAGGGATTCTTACGCTACCTAATTATGCGCTGGCTCCGATGCACGAACGAATGGCTCTTTGCAGGAACCTGGTCAACCACGGACGTGTTGAGAGATTGAGCTGGTTAACTGATTGTGCATGTACGGTGATATTTCTTCATCTCTCTTACTTCAGTTCGATTGCTATTAGTTCAAAGCAAGCTAGAATTAAAAAGATCGTAAAGTTTTGCCTGCTATATAATTATTAAAATCTGGCACAAAAAGTCATTCCCAACTTACTTAATAAATACCTTGAGCCTTTTTTTTAGGGATTGGGGGGGGGGGAGGGTTTATGAGAGGACATGGAATGAAATGAAGATGATCGTGAAAAAAAAATGAAAGCGTGGATACAAAAAATAGATATGTCTTATAACCGGATTATTGTACATACTGAGTCTCTTAGGCCGGTATATGTAGGGTAGAAAGAGATATAATTATATGCTAACATTACTGTGTTTATCATATATTCTAAATCACCCGCAAGGTCCAAGAGTATGCAGTGTGGGCGCTTTGATTCGAATAGAAACGGGCAGACGAGGCTCAATTATTGTAGCCCTTTGTGCCATCGAGGAAACCAAAGTAAAGGGCGTGAGAGAGAGAGAGAGAGAGAGAGAGAGATAGTTATGTAATCGAATTCAATTGCTGAGGATGACTGAGATAGCCGAGCCATCGGGCATGCAAGGGGCCGTCACTATGGAGTGCTCGCGAGGGGACGTGATGGTACCATTGACTAAGGTGCGTGAGAACGCACAGAAGACGAATATGGTGATACGATCACGCCATTTGTTGGGGAAGATGATGGCACAAAAGCCAATATTGTTGTTCGACCGTGAAGAATGAGATCACCATACCGGGTTTGCTAGCTAGGCCCAAGGACAGCGGTGTTGCAGAGCAAGGTAGAAGGTCAACTTGAACCTATGCTATCCGTGGATGACTCAACACACTATCGTAGTTATCAGTTTTGATGACATGTTCCTCTCGTACTTCATGATCTTCATCATGATGCTTGCATCGTAGCATAACCGAGGCATCATGCTTGTTGTGTTGTTCATGCCTTTGCTGCTCTACATGTATGTCATCGATTTCTCTCCCTACCAGTTTAGCCATGCTAGCTCATTAGCAAGGTTTGGATGAATGAGTGCAGGGTTGCCCTCGAGATGCTGCATGGCCAGGAGGACATCTCTAGAGAGATGGCACTCATCATCGAGTGCCTTGGCACTAGCACGACACGGAGATTGAGGACCATGTGATAGACCCATTCGGGGGAGATGCTAGTGAGAGTGATTGACTCATTCGGGGAGATGCTAGTGAGAGTGATTGACCCATTCGGGGGAGATGCTAGTGAGAACAAGCAATCGAGAAACATAGTCACTTTGTATGGAAATGAGTAGACATCTGTTGGGTGACACAACTGTTTGACGTGGAAACATGCAAGGAGTGTGCTGGTGTTATGGTGCCGATGTATGTAACCAGAAAATCCCCGTGTCATTGTGCATGTGACAGAAAATCTCACATTTTTGTTTTTTATAGTTCATTATCATGCAAGAATACGACGTGATTAATTGCTGCAATAAATTCAATCAACAAAGGGGTGCCGCGCTGGTGACCATCGCAGCCACCATCCTCGATGGCATGTTCTACATCACGCAGGAGTTCCATATCGAGGAACAATGAGGGCCTCGTTATCACCTTGCCCCACATCAAAGCCATGATAATCACTACCTTCGCCATCCTAGCCTCTGCTATGTTTTTTTTTTTTGGGGGGGGGGGGTATCTATCCTCATTGATGGTTTTAGCATTGCCATTGTTGTCATGCTCATCTTTATCTACATCTCTTGAATGGTACAACTGGAGATACGTTGGATCGGCACATTGCCGCAGTTCATCTGACGGCATGCTCCTATCATACTTCATGATCTTCACCATGACGCTTGCATTGTAGTACAACTAACATGTCATGCTCGGCGTGGCATGGTATCCATGCTTGCTCGTTCGCAAGGGTTGGATGAAGGAGGCCAGAGCTACCCTCGATATGCTTCTTGCTTGGAAGGACATCTCTTGTGTGATGACACTCATCATTGTGAGCCTCGGGGCTAGCATGACACTGTGATCGTGCACTATGTCATTCATCTATCCAATGGCAACACTAACTTGAATGAACAGCTAATGAACATAGTCATGTTGTATAGTCACGTTGTATGGGCCGGAGTAGGGCCTCTGCTGGGTCACTCCTAGAATTTTCACTGATGATAATTGAAGTAGGTGCTTGTATTCATAACTTTGGTGTTCACATTTTCATTGCTCCAATGTTTAGTTAAGTTTCACCCAAATTTAACTTAATAGTTTCTATATTTTTAGAGGCATCTAGCTAGGATTTAGCCAAGTAAAAGAAGACTAAAGAAAGAATACCATATAGTTTTAA